AACATTATAGGAGTCTGAAGCTTTCATCAATATCCCGTAACTCTTAATGCCACTGCTGAGACATGAGAGATGACTTGTGAGAAGTCCCCTCTTTTCATCCTCTGTAGTGAGGAGAATTATTCTGTTAATTATATTTATAGTTTAAAGAGTAACTCATTTTTTTTTTCCTGAAAAAAAAATATTTGTTTTTCCTATCGTGGAGGGTATTTTTCCAAGTCTGGGAATCACAGGACCATTATTTTCCTCAAAGACGGTGGCTTCACCAAGAAGACATTCACAGTCAGAGCAGACCTGTGACAGAATAATTTATTTGAGATCAGATCAGACGTGTGACTGAATAATTTATGTGAGCTCAGATGATCTGAGATTTAAAAAAAAAACCTAAAAAGCCAAAAAGCTTAGAAGTACAAAAAGAAGTACTTGCTATCTGATAAATACCATGGCAGAAAGATTTGGTATCTTATTCCTATATGTCTGCAAGTTTCTGCAGCAGTGATTTTCTTCTTTCTGTTTTCTTTTTTTATTTATTTTTTTAAATTTCATTTTATTTAACTCTGAAGGGTCTTAAAAGCAGGACTTCTTTTGTTATATTCTATAAGAAATATAACCTCCATATCTTTGATTTGGCTGCCCAGATCCAAATCCATTGCATAATGAATGGTAGGAAAACAGGCCTTTGTCAGATGAGTGAATTTGCTAAAAATGTCAGGATGTACTGGAGTTAGGATGAGAGAGAGAGACAGCGAGAGCAACATTTGATTTATAGAGTTGAGTGGAATTTGAGTGTGTGGGCTTAAAACCAAATGCAATGCTGTTTTCAGTAGCATGCTGAAAAAGAAAAATGTTCAAAAGCGTCTCTCTTGGTCATAGTTGTGCTCCAAAGAGCTCCTTGATTGTGGTGGAAGTTCAGTTATCATTAAAGCCTCAAGTCTGCAAGATATAATGTAGGATGAATGAAAGCAAGAAGCTGAAGAATAGAATTATATGGGAGATTCATAGGCAGTTTATTCCTAAATCCAATTTCATTTAGTGAATTTTAAAAAGTATTCAATAAATTAAATGAGATTACTTATGAGATTAATGGCAGGACAGGGGGAGGGGATTTGAAAGGAAGGTGTTTTGAGCACATTACAAGGTAAGGGAATCGTACTGCATATGGCAATGTAACAAGTTAACATCATCCCAAGGTTCCTTTCTTAGCTTTGTAACCTCTTAAGGTCCATCAGATTCTTGACTCAAAAGCTTAGAGACAAGAATGGAGGGCAAGTTTGTTGTGTCAACAAGTTAGAATTGAGACACTTGCTTTTTGAGAGTTACCACTTACACTTGATGTAAACTTCTTGTCTTGCTTTTTGAATGCATGTAGTGGTAACTTTTCAAAATAATTTCATATTGAGATCTGTCTCAATTCTCAAAATTAGTGAACAAAACATTTAAGCCAGTACTCTTAAAATGAGTAGTAATTAATTACTCATGTAATTGCATTAATTAAACTTGGCTATGTAATTAGGGAGCTAATTATGCTGAAAAGCAATTGTATGTTTCAATCACTGTCCACACCCTTGGAATCACCCAGCTGCTTCTCCTCTCCTTTCCCTTTCCTGGAGTATGATTGAAGCTGACACTATGCGTGGATGGGGAACTGCTTTTACCAAAAAGTCTGTCATGTTTAAAACTTACTTTTAATGCGTCATTTTAATTAGAAGGGAAAAAAGAAGTCCAAATTATCATTATTATTTGTCTCCTACCTACAGCTATGTATGTGTGTGCGATTACTGGGACTTTGCATGAAAACACACACACAGAGACATGCACACATGCCTATATAGTATATAAATTGTAATTTGTTTAAGGAAAGTATAATCTGGGAATCTTACTAACTGTCTGTTGAAATGTCTTGCACTTTTTTCCTTAATGGGAGCAGAGGAATGGAGGAGCTTTCTTATCGTGGAGTCCAATCCCAACTTATCACAGGCAATGAAATTGAATAATCTTTTTTTGTGAATGTGTCAGATTGCATACTAAAATTATTTGTTTCTTCCTCATAATCTTTATTATAAGACTGTTGCAGATTCATATTCCTCTGTTTTAGCTAACTTTTCTAATTTACAGTGTCAGGACGAAGGCTTCTCGTGCAATTATTCCTGTGCTAGCATCATTGTTTCAGAGTTGCCCTGGTACCTTTCACTGTATATGTATATCTGCATTTATATATCCTGAGTATCATTACCTAGTGTTGTACACGATGTTTCAGTTTATCCCTATTCTATATCGTAATAACGACCTTATACTTCACTGCTGCGGGATCAGATAATATCAATTCTCTCCATCTATCCTATCAGATAGTATTGATTCTTTCGATCTATCCTTTCTAACTGATAGACATTGGATATAAGTTGGATCTAGTTTCTAGTATTTAATTTTTCAAGGCAGCTTTTTTTTTTTTTTTTCTTGAGAGATTTTGATCTCTTTTTTTGGACAGATTATCATCAGCAGATTTCATTGGCATTATTCTACTATATGTAATGGGCATTAGTGAAAATATTTAATACGAAACACTTGAGTGTACCTTGCAACCTTCTTTCCATGCAGTAATTCCTCTTGCAGCATAAGCTTTCTCTTTAGCCAGTTCCTTACTTGTCTTATAGTTATTAGAGATTCTTGTCTCAGCTAGTGATTTTGCATGAGACACCCTATTCAGAGCTTTGTTGAAATCCTTACAGATATGGTACCTTTGTTTTAATCGCTTTTATTCAAATGTGATTTTTTTAAAAAAATATAATTTTTGCTACTTTACTTAAGATCCATAGAGAATACCACAACAAGCAATTTGAAAACTTTTGAAAGGAAGCTTTCCTTTTAAAATAATGTTACACATGAATAATGGCATAATATTGCATATGTTACAGTTGGACTCGATGATCTTGCAGATCTTTTCCAACCATAATGATTCTATGATTCCGTGGACAGTTTTCTTCCGTATTCGATTTCAGTTGTGTTGCTGTTACTGTGGTACTTCATGGTGTTGTCTTACAGTGTTAATTCCTGAGAAACTGTACAGGGGGAAGGAGACAGCTAATACTTGTGCTTTATAAAGCCTCTGGAAGCTCTCGAGTGTTTTTGTTGAATGATGTGGCCGTATTCATTAAGTTGATCTCCTCTCCCAGAGGAATTCATGCGAATATTACCTAATTACTTTCTAATCTGATTTATGCTGTCTGTAAATGTTTTGCATTTTTAAAATTGCTAAAACAGATCAATAAAGGTTGGGAGGAGTTCCAGCTGTTTGAGTCATAATGTATTTTTGACATTTTCATACAGCCTGACAGTTACCATTACCTCATATGAAGTCTTCCAGGGGCTTAAAATTCAATGTCCTGAAAAATATGTTTTGGAACACATTTTGGCTCCTTCACAAGAGGAAAGCGTAACCAGTCAATTTGGTTGGGTAGACTTGTTCCCTTAAACCTTCAGACAAATGCTTAATGGTAGACATCTTTATGTGCATTCAAAGTTATTTCATTTAAATCTTGTGACATTTGTCTATGCAAGCTGCTAAACATCCTGAGCTGCTTGAAATTGTTCCCAGAATTGCATGCTTAGTATCAGTTCGGATTAGACCTAGTCTTTCTATGGCTCAAGTGACTCTGAAACTGGCTGTCAAATCGTTGAATGGCATTTAGAAAAGCAAGTGCTCTGTGTGTAGCGTTCCAGATTGAAGATAAGAAACATCTGTTGTGATTTGGGAATAATACCTAGTCTGTCCTAGAATGCCGTTAATTTCAGGGGAAATTAAGGGTGATGACAATATGATATATTCTACAGAAGTCCTTGAGACTTCTTTAACTCCGAATAAGTACAGAATATCTTGGAGTTGTGCCATGTAAGATTTATGATGATATTAATTTAAGTATCTTGTAAAATGGAGGAGTTTGAATCTGTTTTAGGGTAGTGTTAGTTGTGCTCTTTGGAGCTGCTCAGAAGCCTGTGCCACCTGCTCTGAAGGACCTGCTTGAACAGGGGCTTGGACTGGGTGGTCTCCAAGGGTCCTTGCTGTCCTCTGTAATAAAGCATCAAAGGCCACGGCAGGAGCTCGCGGTGAGCCCTGTAAAATGGGAGCATTGCAGCGGGAGCCGGTCTGGAGCAGAGTGGACTTGTCTGGAGGGAGGAGAGGGCCCCGTCCCGACTGATCCTTGTGCCTGTTGTGACCTACCGGCCACCGAGTCTCGTCGCGCAGTGGCTGGGCAGCTCGTGACGGCTCAGGGAATCCCTGCCTTTTGATGGTGTCTAGATGGCATTCCCAGTCCCTTAACAGGAGAGACACCACAGAGGAACCCCTCAGCTTGCACTCCTGTGGATGGGGCCCGCAGGGCAGGGGGTTCTGTCTTTTCTGACGGGTCCTGTATTATGTTGGGGCATCTGTGCGTTGGTGGTAGGTGAGAGAAGAGCACCAATACTGCACAAAACTGTAAATAAATACGCTTGCAGGAGAAGGATATTTCTTGCTTGTGGTTTTTTTTCTTCCTGTTGTGTCTGCTCTTATTTGCCATTTTCATTTTTAGATTTCCTCCTTTCACTTTAGCCTTAAAAATGTCCTGTTTTAATGCCTACAGCAAAACTCCAGAGGTTTCCTAAAATAGGTAGACAGGCAGTCTCAGTAGGCTGGGAGAGAGGAAAACTAATAACATTTACACAAACATCTCTGTAGGGCTTTCCTTCTTGTCAGATTATGTGAGAAATCTGAATAATGGTTGGCGTTCCTATTTTTCCTGGTATTCTGTCATTCTTTTTAGGCTTATTATCTTGTGTCCCCCTTATTTTCTATGATCGGATTCTCCAACTTGCTACACAGATTATATTGAATAATCAGGTCTTTTAGCTTTTAAGTGTTTCATGACAGATGGTGTTTCATAGAGCTCAATGCCAGACTTCGAGTACAGGGATATTTAGAAGGAGCTGCGGTTTAATAGCCGATTTTCTTGTTTCCCCTTGTTTCTCAGACTTCTTAGTTGTCCATTTAAAGATTTACACTGAAGAAGACGAAGAAGAACACACTGGGCATTACCTAGAGTAATGTGTTCTGTGTAAATGTTGAACAGATACTGTCATAGAAATAGAAGTGAAGAAAAAGGTTTATTGAAGTGATAGAGATCCTCACACAATGTGCCAGTAAGGTGGTATGAAGGGAAACTTTTGTTTAATTGGAGTGGACATGAGTCAAGGATTCTCTAATCCAATTTCTAACAATCTTCAGCAGACAGATGACAAGGTTTTTTTAGTTCGTAAACCACCTCTTTTCCTAAAAGATGTACAGTTTTATCAAAAATCAGAGTATAGTTAAACTGAAGATCCTCCCTCTACCCCAATCATATTTTAAGAGTCTTATAGTGAAATCAGATTAGTGATTTATTGAATAGCATGGGAAAAAAAATGAGACATGTAATATAGTTAGTCTGCATTCTTGTTAATTTTAACATTTAGCTTTGAAAGAAATGCATTTTAGGGCAATAACTGAATAATTTAAAATCTAAATGGAGACAAAAAAGGTCTTAACTGAAATGATGTGGTAAAGTCCATCAATGTTGTGTAGTCCTTAAAGTGGAACAGAGAAGAAGATTTGTTTAATTGATGAATGTTTGTTGTCAATGGCATAGCTCTTTCCTTGAGAGCTCCTAACTTACTGGAGTAAAACAAGTAGCACTCTAAAAAGAATGACCTAGTGCAATTTTTGAGATGCTGTGGTCCTCAGCTGTGACTGAAATTTTTTGAAGAATTTTACAAACATTTTGCCTTTTCTTTGGGAGTTAACTGTTAACTTGGAGAGTTTAGAGGAAGCATTATCTCTTCATACAATATGTGCTTTTCCTTGAATAAAAAATACAAAATGTTCACATGGTGTTCTGTTTTAATTAAAATTAAGTAGGACAGAATAGGATTTAACATGATTGTCTAGTGAGCTAATGAGTTCAAGATCCAGCCGTACTTTGCAGATTAGTTTGTTATCTAATGCCATTAGTGAAGTTCATAATTGTATCTATAATATTTGGCTCTGGGGGTAGCTTTTAATAAATTAATCAGACCTGAAACAGCTAAACATGAAGCCTCTATATTTTCGGCCTCAAATAAATGACCTAAATTAAAATAACCCTTATATAATTTATTATACTCCTTATTGGTAATGTAAACAGTGGGATTAATTGTATTTTTAACTGCACTTGTTCTTAAGGTACATTTGTTTTCAGAAGGATTTGTTTGTTGCTGTGTTACTGTACGGTAGCTGCGAGGCTAGCTGTAGTTTTCTCTGTAAGAAGACACAATTTTATAACATTCTTTCATATCCACAGGTTTTAGGACCTGCCCCAAAATGGTGTTCCTTCTTGGATAATTTGACTGAAGAGCTGGAAGAGAATCCAGAGAGCACAGTTTATGATGATTACAAATTTGTTACCAGAAAAGACCTTGAAAATTTAGGTAAAACACTTGAATCTCCTCCTTAATTGTCATCTTTGTTCAGCCTTAGATCCTTTCCAGGAGTAAGTTCAGATGTGACACGCTAATAAGGAGTGTGGGGACTCTTAGAAATCTGCTGGCAATAATTTCTGCCAGACATCTTGGTTATTAATGTACCAGACTGATGGCTTTATGTTCTGTGGTTCCTCTCCAGTGTAAGAGTAGACGTTTGTGTTTCTCAGATCTTTATCCCAAGGAGAAGATTGATATTTGCTGGTATGATACGTCTAGGACTGCGTGTGTGCTTTCAGACACACTTAGTGGAAGGCACAGGAAAAGTTAATTGAGCTTTCAAAATATTTTTGTAGGTTCTCTTTTTTTTTTTTTTTTTTGAACTCTTAGCAAAATTAGAAACAAAATTCAACTGCAAAAAGTTAGCTTCATTAAATGTAAAATTTTCCTTCAGAAAATACCAACCATTCCACCATTCCAAGGCCAATAGAAACACATTTTTAACACATACGGTACTACAGTTCTGAAAATCATCTAGCAAAGGAAGTAGGTTTCACTCAAACTAATAAGTTCTTTATCTTCCTGTTACATATTGTGATTTTTGTGATGCCTTACTCCAAGTTGGTTTAAATTGCTTTACCTGTGAATAAAGTGCTACTTTGTGACCTTTGACTTAGGCCTGGCAGGAGGCTATACAAGGAGAAGGTCCTTCACAGCCCCTGTGGCTTGAGCAGTAGGGGGGTGGATGGTCTCAGTGTAGCCTGCAGGTCCTAATTTGAAGCTGAAAGGTTTAAGGCATCATGGTGTTGCCAACATGGAGAGTTGACTGAGAACAGGGCTTCTGCTCCAGTGCGCTATAACACAGTTGAATTGATTTCCTCATAAATGCAAGTTTTCAAATAAAAAGTTAGTGTGTGGAGGGGCTTTCACTTCGTATAACCTTTTTTTATTATTATTAGGTTTTGTTTGTTTGTTTTTTAAGTTTTATTACTAACTATTAACTAGAGTACTCTTGTTTTGGAATATTCAGGAAGATGAATTCCTGGAAACAATTAAAACTCTTTAGAGATCTTTGCTTTCTGGTTGCACAGTTCTCTGGGTTCTTTTTTCTTTTTTTTTTTTTGCTTAAGCTTGTTTATTCTTAATTTCTAAAGATCTCTGATCTGCTGAGGAGATTTTTTATTATTATTATTTATAGAAGCCTTCTCTTTTTCTTGATTTTTGGAATTTTGTGAAGATATATGGCATGAAAATCTGAGAAAACTTAAGTATATTAATTCTTGCTTATTTTAGGCCTAGGGTGACAGTTTTATGATCTGATGTGGTACTATATTTCTTTCAACATGTTGATTCTTCAAAGACAGTGACCCCAGGCAAAACTCTTTAATTAAAAACAGCTCTATACCACAGTAAAAAAGCGATAGTCAAATGTGTGTGGACTTTGAAAAAAAATTTTCTCAAATATTTCCTTCTAAACTTTCTTTAGTGGGCAGCTTTAGAAAGTGCCCTTAACATGTATTATGACAAGAAAAAAAGAACCGTAATGCTCTGAAGTAGCTCGTATTTCTTGCTGGCCTAAATGATTTTCTTGTGGCTTTACTCTGTCTTGATGTAATAGATGTAGCTGTTGGAGAGTGATGTGCTGTGCTGGTAGTGCTCGTTTGTCTTGGATCGAGTAAGCGAAGTGACTTGCTTTAAAGAAGAGTTCTTTATATATCAAAGTTCTTTGAAATCCTCTGTAATTTTTTCCCAGGCCTTGCTCATCTCATTGGGTCGTCATTACTCAGAGCATATATGCATGGCTTTTTCATGGACATAAGACTTTACCATAAGGTAAATAAGGCTGATTCTTGTGAATTTTGCTTTTAACGATATAACATTTGTGCTGTTTTTTTTTCCACGTGAAGGCCGTCTCTTGCATTAGTTTAATTTTTCTTTACCTTTTTCTGTTTGGTTAAAGGCAAAAATGATGGTGAACCCGTTTGCATACGAAGAATACAGAAGAGAGAAAATCAGACAGAAAATAGAAGAGACGCGTGCACAGAGAGTTCAACTAAAGGTAAATCCTGTTTCCAATGAGTGAGCCTCTGGAGATAAGTATTCATAAAGAGTAATACATTATCTCAGAGGTGTAATTACTGGGATTTCATTCTGTTTATTATCAGATATGCAAAGTAAAGTTTGTTTTTATTTGTTTTGAATAGAAGTGTAAAATTTCAATGCTTATAAATCTTACAAATGCGAAAAGATGATGCTAAACAGTAAGGATGAGCTCTCATCACATTTGGCATTTGAACAGATAACCCAGTGATGAAATTTGCAGTTTCTACTTCTGTCATTAAACCAAATGACTTAGGCCATTCAAATATAATATTCTGAAAAAGATGTATAAAAATACTGTTGTGGGACTCTGTGTTTTTATCTAGTAGCTTTCTAAATTGAATTTACAACATATAAGGAAAAATAAATGCTTTGAAAGTACCGTACCTAATGCCTTACAAGGGAGAAACAATACAGAAGCTCTATGCAAGTTTTCTCCCAAAACTTAGTAGTACTTGGAAATGTTCTAAATAAACCAAGGAGCTCTTGTTCCTTATAATGGTTATATTAGTGAATGAGAACTGTGTTTTCTCAGTACGATGTGCTTTCTGTCACCTACTAAAATGTCCGCTTGGACTTTCTGTTTATCTCTAGTAAATTCACTGTTTTGGGGACTCTATCCTTTTTTCTTAATCCAATAGGTAACGACATGATAAATTTAAAAGCTAATAAATGTAACACTAGCTTTGTAGGAAGCATTTAGTCTGTTAAAATAGCATATGAAGTTTCATTTGAATCGTACTGGCCAGGTAAGTATAATTTTTTACTTTGTTTCATCTAGAGTCTTACATGGTGCAAATTGCTTTTTTAAAAAATTTATTTCGGAGGTAAAGCATGTATGGGTTTTTTGTACATAAAAGAATAATATATTAATAAATTGCTTTTACCTCATCAGAAACTTCCTAAAGTGAATAAAGAACTTGCACTCAAGCTGATTGAAGAAGAGGAGGAGCAACAGGCTACTAGAAAAAGAAAACAAAAGGTGAGCTTTGGTTTTGAAGGGAAGACAGAAATAGAAATGCTTACAGTGATTGATTACTGTTATCTGGCCAAACAGATTCAAATTTCCATTGTTCCTTATCTCTTCAGGTAACTTATTCTGACAGGTGGACTTCACTGTAGCTGGAGAACCAAAAATGCCATGTAGTAACCTTGTCATCTATATAATTATGAAATACTCACTGTAAAGATGATGTGGGCTTCACAGGCATCCAGAAGCTAGCCAAATGCAGTAATCAGTAACAAAGTTGTCAAAAAAAATACTTTTTCATTTGGTAGTATTTTTGGTGGTAACTACAAGAAGATAGGCATTTTCTGCAGAACTGAAGAGCAGGCAGTTGCCCAGGTTAACACTGCAGTGTAATTGCCTTTCTTTATACACATGAACTCCGTTTGTTAGTATTTTTATAAAATATAGCTAAGATTTTACTAAGTAGTCAAAATGATTCACTCTTATGCAACATTTGATAATAGTTGATGTTGACAGTAATCCATTTCTATTTGAGATGTTATGTAAAAGGAAAAAAAAACCCTTAGTATTTAGTATCTGGTAGGAGAGAGAGACAGAGCAGAAATTTGCTTAGTCAGTCTCTATAAATTAGCAGAAAGTTCTGGTGCGTTGTGTAGATGTCACTTGTAGGAGCTTATCCTCACACTAATAAAACATTCATGAAATGGGAAGCAAGACAGGCATTAACTTTGTGAAGCACCTAATTAAACCTTGTGTGTTATAGCTGGGGTTGTGGCATGAATTGGTGAAAAAGCAGTGATAAATGCTTAGATACAAACTTGTCAAGCCTCTGTTACAAAGGAAATATGCATTCAATAAACAGACAGAAAAGGAGGAAAGAATTGCCTAGGAAAATGGATTGTATTTTTAAGTGGTTAAAAAGAGTACTTCAAAATATATTCTGATTATATTCCTGAAAGGGCATTAAGAGTCTTATGAAAAGCAATGTATTTGAGGCATGGGATAAGTTCTCTTTTTCTCTTACCCGCAATAAAGCTGCAAGTTCCACATTTGCAACACCTTTTATAGTTGAGATTTACAAGTGTTCTTTTCTGTATCTTTTTCTTTTTTTTTTTCCTTGTTAGATAGCTATGGAAATTTAATGTTGGGGTGGGATAAATGTACTTAAGCTTGGCAATGTTGACAGACAAGCTTTTTATAATAAAAACCTATGTAGCCAGTGATTTAAAATAACAACTTATTCACATAAGTTGAACACTGTCCAATTCAGCAGTGGCATAATTTATACTGACTTAATTTTCTTCTAACAGGAACAAACTGAGTTTTCCAGTGTTCTTTGTGAAGGCAGCGTAGAAAAGCTGTATAATATATACTGAAACACTTATCTTAAGTATTTACACCAAAACAGAAGTAATATTGTATAAAGAAGTGTTTTACCCTAATATTTTGTTTAATATGAGTATTTATAAGGTATTCACTTTGGAGGTACTACTGCATAGCCAATAAATATCAACACATTGCCAGATTAGCTGGCTGAATATGAGAAACATTTAATTCAGAAATATTGTGTATTTAAACTATATGTATAGTGTTCATAAGAAACCATCATGCTTACAAACAGTTTAAAATGATAGTTGCTTGATTTGTAAAGTGATAGTTGCTTGATTTGTAAAGTGATAGTTGCTTGATTTGTGAAGGTAATAAAACACAATTGGAATAAATCACTTTTACGTAACATAGAAGGCGAAAACAACTGGCATTTCCCATATTGTTTGAGTGTTTTGTTTAATTAAGCAGGTGTTAATTGAATGACTTTTGATTTAGAAATTTTAGAATTTTGTGACTAACTCATGCTTCTTTGTTTCCAGAATCTGCCTAGTCTTCTCAAAGATGATCGTTTTAAGGTCATGTTTGAGAACCCGGATTTCCAAGTGGATGAGCAGAGTGAAGAATTTAGGCTGCTTAACCCACTTGTTTCTAAAATAAGTGAGAAAAGAAAGAAGAAACTAAAGATCTTAGAGGAAAAGGAAAAGCAAGCACAAGAACAGGTAAGATACTTTCTATAAGGAAAGATCTATATTTTTTTTGTTTTGTTTCTAATATTCAGGCTTCTTACCGTAGGAAAAAAAAAAGAGGAAAGAAGTTGAAAAATATCTATCAGCTACAGTAATTTAGATGTAAATAATGTTATGATAGGTTGTGTTCAGATGCGAACCATATGTCTGCATAAATACAGGTCAGAAAAACATGTAGTGTTTAGGTGGAAGTATTTTTATAGTCTGTTTTCTGCTTCATTTGCTGCTAGTGCTTTTTTCAAATTAAGTTTTCTTCAGCTGTGCTGATGTAAAGCTGTCACGTACTCTTTGCAAGAATGGTTTGAAAGGCAAATTAGTTGATGATTTCTTATTTTAAACTATTTTTGCCTACAGGAAGAGGAAGAAGAGCCTGAAGGAAAACCGAGTGATGCAGAAAGTTCTGAGAGTTCAGATGATGAAAAAGGCTGGGTTGAAGAGGTCAGGAAACAGCGCAAACTTCTACGCCAAGAGGAAAAAGTAAAACGGCAGGAAAGGTTCAAGGAGGATCAACAAACACTACTGAAACCTCAATTTTTTGAGATTAAAGAAGGAGAAGAATTCAGAAGCTTCAAAGACTCTGCCAAAAAACAAAAATTAATGAAGTAAGACTAATGTTTTTATTTTAATAGGAGTGGGGGTGGGTTATTTATCGAGCATTTCTTTACCATGCAGGCCAATGGTATTTCATTAGTTGTCATGATAGTCTTGAAAATGCTTATTAGTAAAGCCACATCTGGTGATGCAGGGTATAACCATACCGGGACACAATTAAAAGTTTTATTTTCTAGTTGAACAAGTAGGATGTTTAAAAAATATGGGAGAGGGACAAAGAAAATGTGATGACCACAACTCAATAATCTGAGACAGAATGGTGGATCCACTACTTAGTGCTGGTGAATTGTACTCACAGCAATAACTTCTAGTGTGTCTCAAAGGGATTGGCAGCCTGGGTATCTCTCATTTCAAAATTTGTCACTACTATGGAGGTAGGATCCATGGTGATAAAAGAAAAAACTTTGGTCTCAGTATTTTTACAGCATCCACAAACTTTTGACAAAATATGCTTTTTCTTTGTCATCAGGACTATTTGCCTATTTGCACTATTTCTATTTGTGCAATACTGGAAATTAATTTGTATTTTATTTGACTTTTGCATTTCACTTTTATTCTTAAATTGTTGATAAACCCAATTAGTTGGCTATTATATAAAAAGCACATTTACCTCTTAGACCTGCAAACTACAGGACTTGACTTTGAGATGTTTAATACCCACAAATCTAACTTTTTTTTTTCCAGAGGTGAGTTAAGTCCTTCAGAAGTTGAGATTTAGTAGCATTTTGTTACTTGGAGAATGGACAGCAATATTAAAGGCTTCAGAAATAATAGCTTCAAAGTTCTTGCAAAATATGGATGCAGAACAGAATTTTAACCAATGCTAGAAACAGGTTGCTTTGCGAGATGGATCCAGAAGTAGCTGTTAGGCTTTTATTTAGAATTAAAAGATACACTGAAAGAAAAAAATGAATAATACGTATATAGTGAGGCTGATGTCTTTGTGTCAGTAACGACTGACTGCAGGGTACCTTTGGATCAGTCTAGCTGTTACATGATTGATACCTTTTAAAGTTACTTAAGGAAACATTTGATAAAATTAGCCCTTTCTTTAAATGTGCAATTTTTTTTTAAACTGGAATTGCGTAAAATGGTCTCTAAGTACAACTAATTTGCTGATTCTGTGGTGACCTGTGATTTACATGTTATACATGTAAAATCTCTTTAAATATAACCAGCAGCCAGTATATATCTTCCCCTTTTGTGGGGAGAGAGAATGTATCTTCTGTATCTTCAGGTTCTCTGCTGACCCTGTGCAGACAGTGCAATATTTTGCAAGGTCTGGTGCGTAATTAGGGTGGCTCGTGCTGGATGCCTGAGAAACGTCCAGATGGGATGTAGTGTCACGACTGAAAACAAAGCTGAGGATGGAATGGGGCATTAAAAATGCATGTGGCAGTGTTACATCCTTTGTGTTTGTCTATGGGGTACCTTCATTGAATCGCCTTTTCCTAATTCTCCTTTTGTCTGAACACTTGTTTCCATCCTCTCTGATCCAGTTTATGCTCATCCAGACGTTATTTAGAATGAGTAGTTTGATATTCCTAATTCTGCTTAACTGATATGATTCTGCAAACATAATTAGTCAATTAGTCAACATTGTGAGATGATTTGTTTTTGTTAATAAGCATTTTTACATACTAGAATTTTATGGAGAAAATAACTAAGTATGTTTTCTGCTGGCCTTATTCAGTGATAAGCAGTCAGCATTAAAACAATTAATTCAATTAATGTACTGAAAATTGGAAAGACTGTAGTGGCATGTACAATCTGGTGAGTCTGGCGTGTTTGTCTTTGATTTGATTTATCCAAGCTATGGAATGATGGTCTGTGACCAATATAATTAAGTACCTTAATACCTTCACTATGCACTTAATGGCTAAGTGTTCTTTTTTTTTTCCTTCCTAATCATATAATGTTCTACCTGAGGAAACAGTTTATGACTTATATAAAACTGGGTGTTTCTGTTGACATGTTCCTGACTCAGCACAGCTCCAAGCCCAACTTTTAAAGCAGTGGTTCGTACTATAAATTTCTTAGTAGACCAACAGTCTACACATTTCTTTGTACTGAGAAACTGCAAGAAATATTCATAAGTGCAGCACATGCCTTGTCTAAGTCTCTCTACAGTTCATCTTCTGCTCTCACACTGCTGTGCTTATGCAGGAAAACCTGCTGCAGGTGTTAGTAAAGATGTTAAACTTTTCCTTGTTTATTTACTATAGTTCCTTACATAATAACTTAAAAGAAACACATAAAAGGAAAGGGTTCTTAAAAGGAAAGGGTCTTTATCAGTTGCTAAAAGGTCTTTTGATTTTGTGGGTGTGCTTTTAAAATGTTTGTTATTAGAGTATATCAAAACTAAAAAGAACAGTAGTGAAACTTTAAAGTATAGCAGTCTATATATATATTCCCTGAGATGGCCAAGATTTAAAAATATATATATATATTGTTGACATTTCTAGGTATAGAAAATGTAAAACAAAAAATAAACTCCTAAAAATTGCTCTCCTCCTAATTAGGAGGAAGAAAACTGTCCAGACATTTATTTTTAACTATAGCACAGGGGCAGCATTTTTAATAAAATTTTAAGGGATATTTTGAATAGATTTATTGAGGATGCTAAAAGAGAAAAATGTTTTAAATGTTTCTATGTCACAGTGTGTATAATTCACTGTCATTTGGGGTTGCATATTTCCAGATAAATACAGCCTTATCTTCATTTATTCAGTAAATTTGCAACCCGAAAGTGTTTTTCTAGTATCTCCTCATTTTAATTTTTCCCCTGACCGAAGCAGTATCCAGGCAGTCATGCTAAATAATTGCTGGGTAGTAGCCATATTTCTCCAATTCATTTTCAAAGGGGAGAAAAATGGAACTGCACTTGAATGTAGAAATCCCACCACAATGTCAGTGACTGATCTTCTGCCATAGTTAGCTCTAAGGCTTAGCTTGTCTTCCCGATTCACGCAAGTTTTTACATGTACTCAATGAAAAATATACTACAGAAAAGATACAGTCAAAGTACCTAGTCATGAGAAATAAAGCAATTCTCGACAGTGATTTTAATTTTTGTTATCAGAAAAGTCTTTGTTACATAAGTGACTCATTGTCCAAAATTCAGCAGATTTCGTATGTAGGTTGTGATCTGTGAACCCATCGTGCATGGAAATTCTGTGGCCGTTAGTGGCTGCTTGTCATACTTATTGCTGTTTATCTTATTTTTACAATGACTTATTTCCCACCTTTCATGAAAATAACTTGCAAAAATGTAGGTATTTGCATGCTATTAATGAAAACGCTGTTAAACTTGACAAAAAGTAATCTTTTACCCCTGTTCAGAAAGATCTAATAGGGTATACTGATAGCAATATCGCAAATTGAATAAAAAATTATATACAGATACATGAAAATCTTCTAAGTACATCACAGTAAGTTTATCTTCCTATTGAACTGGTTGTGCAAACCATGTTGTTCTCAGCATTACCTACTTCACAGAATCACAGAATGGTTGAGGTTGGAAGGGACCTCTAGAGATCATCTAGTCCAATCCCCCTACTCCAGCAGGGACACCTAGAGCACGTGGCACAGGGCGGCATCCAGGCGGGTTTGGAAGATCTCCAGAGAAGGAGACTCCACAGCCTCTCTGGGCAGCCTGTGCCAGGGCTCTGTCACCCTCACAGGAAAGAAGTTCTTCCTCACATGGAGATGGAACTTCCTGTGTTTCAACTTGTACCCATTACCCCTTGTCCTGTCACTGGGCACCACTGAGAAGAGTTTGGCCCCATCCTCCCCACATTTGTGAGGGCATTAATATTCCAGTGGAGCTGAAAGTAGCATCTGTTTCAGCCATTTTCATCCATTGTCATCTCTTTCGTTCCTGACCCCTGTGTAGACAAATGTTAAGAGTTCAGTGCCTGAGGACTGCATTTGCACAGGAGAGCTGACAGAAGCTGTCGAGCATGGTGCAGTTGATGGCATTTGCTCATGAAAAGCTCTTTACGTGGTCGGGATCTGTCTTGTTTATCAGATTCAGTCATTTGCACTTTCTGCTTTTGTTTTTGGTTTTATTTTAATCTATTTGCATTTCACTGTTCCAGGCTCAGTGTCAAAACAATCAATTATAATTCGATTAAGTAGCTGATCTCTGTCAGTGAAGGGATACATTCTATGATGAATTAATGGAAAAGTGTATTCAGGATTACTTCCTTCCCCTCAGGTTAAAGGGAAGGCTTCAGAAATAAAAAATTTCAAGCAAACTGGATACAGTTGGCTTTTAAATACTTGTATTTTTGTTTGAGACATGTACCTACAAGTGCAGCCAAATATATATGACTTTTTCTGACATTTCATAGAATACTATTGCAATGGAAGGGCAATATTTCTTTCTAACATCAGGCCTGATGCTTTTTTTTTTTAAAGAAAAAACCAAGGATCTTTGCATAAAATTTAAAATGCCTTTACTGTAAGCAGTATCTGGAGGGAATGATTTGAGCTTGCATTTCTTTCTTGTTTATTGAATGTTTATTTTTGAGTTATGGCATTTGAGGGTTTCAGAGAATCTGAGATTAGTTTTGACTGCATTATCAGTCTTTATTATAGTAGTAAGATGGCAAGAATAGGAACTAATGTTAATTATCCTCTGCAGGAAAACTCTTGGAGATCGTTTAAAGCTTGAAGAAAAACTTGGCACTCTCAGTGTGTCTGATACCACAGTAGGCAGCAAACAGGCAACATTCAAATTAAAAAAGGTAAGCTCTATATATATATATAATTTTTTTAAGATAATATACAAGTAACTTGAGTTGTTGCATGAAAGAACAGGAACCTTAAAACCGTCAAACAAATGTCCCTCTTCATTTCTTTACAAGCTGCCAACTCTTCTTTGCTTCTTGCCAAGAGAGTGAAAGCCTCCGGTAGTACTGGAGTGTTTATGCCCTTATAATTCAAGCAGCACTCATAAAAAGACTTACTTTTCAATGGAAAATCCTGCCTTCTCTCTTTGAATAGTTTATTTTTGCAGATGTATCATTCGAAGCTTGTGACCTTACCTGACCTCTGTGCCAGGACTGATCAGATCTTGGTGTTCAGGTCTAAATGCAATCAGGATGCTGTGGGTGACAGGTTAATAGTGAGGCTGAGCCTCAGCGTGATAAAAAGCAGATCTCAGAAGAGCTTCAGTCGCTGAACTTCTGTAACACAAATCAGAAGAATGAGCCCTGGTCCTGTTCTACTTGTCCACTTTCATTTGAAGTGTGTAGTTATTTCTACCCATCTATCTTTCCTTTAGGGTTTCTCTTTCCTGTTATAAGGGATTTTGTAGATACTGATGTAGGTGTAGCATGCCTGCATTTGCTTGGTTTGTGGAATGCTTAGGGGTTATTTTTGCTAGAAAAAAATGTTTTAGAACTGAAGCAAGGACATATTATAAAAGCTGAAGATCCATGTTCATTCTCAGATTCTTTACCTGACAAAAGATACTTCAGTTAAAACTGTTTTTTCCCAGGTAACCCTATCTTCTCTGATACATCTCACCTTATGATTGATCAAATACTCTTGTATCACAAAAATAAAACTACACTGCCATCAAGAGTGTGTTTAAGTAGCTATTTTATTATAGTGTGCGCTTCGGGTGCACTTGAGTAAAAACTTTAAGCAAATTTTTTGGAATATTTCTCTACTTTTTTACATGATTGTTTTCTCTTTTCACAGTCCTTTTTCATCTCTTTTTGATTCTTATATTTCTGGAATTTAAGAGGTATTGACTGTGGAATAACCCTCAGATTCCATTGCTATCATCATTTCAGGCTGTTTACCGATGTTAGTTAATGCCTTGCACGTAATTGAGTGAGTTTTGCAGGGCTGCTAAAACATAGTCTTGTTTGTGTGTTTGTTTTTGGTTGTTTTGTAACTTTAAATTAGAAAGTGTTGAGCCATTAAGTTTCTTAGAGTTGATGGTGAGCAGTGAACTACATCCATTAGCAGTTCTTGGAGAACTGGGAACAAGGAGGGAGGAGACGGACGTGGCAGTGGTTCAGAAAGCTGTTTTTACATTATTCCATTGGATTTTGTTTGTTTGTTTTTAATTTTATTGCTGTTAATACGTATGGATTTTTGGTGTAGAATTGTAACGGATGTTGTTTTACCAAAATGCATAAGTAACAAAATAAGACTTAGAAGACTTCTCTCGAACAGTCCACTGGGTATGTGCTCTGTCCTAAGAAATGGAGCAGGGAGAGCTAGAAAGAATTCATGCCATACAGTATGCTCAGTTATGCTACTTTTTTGTGAAATGGTGAAGACTGTGAAGTTAGCAATCCGAGAAGTAATTTAGTATGAATCCAATCACAATTAACATCTGCTTTGCGATGCCCTACCTTTAAAGAGCAGGTTTAAGTAGAAAGATTTGGGTTGTGTTTCCATAAGATTGGTATCCTTTGACATTGTAGATCAGTGGAATTGAGGCTGAACGTGGCCGCTGGCTTGTTGTGGCCATTGGTTTGTTGTGGCTGTTGTGTCAACAGTTCTCCAAGCGCCCAATAGCCAGTGCTAGTCCAGTGCTGCAGTTGTCATTGATATTTCACTTCTTGGGGGGTTTGTCGTGATACCTCAGTATTGCATCCTGTTTTTCAGTTTCAGCTTGCTTTGTCATAGAAATAAATACAATAACATAGCAAGTTTTCTAAACTACTTAAGGTTCTCAACATCATCTCCTTTTTTATTAAAAAACAAAGTCTTTGATACAAATCAACTTTCTGTATACCAGCTGTAACAGTGAACATTAAACTAAGAATGTTTCTCAAGACTGTTTTAGAAATATAAGCAATTCCTTGCTGTCTCTAGGCTTCATCTATGTAGCAT